ATAGTAACAGTTGCAAATTGTTTTATTTAGACTAAGTCTATGCTAATTCACAAATTACCTCAAATGCCATACACGGCGTTTGATCCTTCAGATTGGCAGGTTTGAGCGCAGGAAAATACAGTACAGAATACAGAAACCAAATATTACATCGCCAATCTGGAATCATCTCCATTCATGTCACCCATCCGCATTTGTACAAGTGTCTTCAAGTTCACGTGATCGCAAACGCTCGGCTGGTCAGGTCTGTATTTACTGCATTCGGTGTTTGAAAAAAAAGACATCAAGACTTAAAATAAAACTCCAGAAAGGTGTAAAATATGTGACCTTTAAGGGTGAGTAGTTAGCAAATAGTAGTCTACATTGCAAAAGATTGTGTTGATAAACAGGTCTATAGTTTATAAGAGGAAATTGTTAACAACAAAAAACGGATGGTGGATTAATTCACTCTTTGCCGGGAATTTGGACTTGAACTTGAAAGTGGTGCGTATTGATGTCTTTCTGCAGTTGAAACTAAATACCTTCTGATGTTCATTCATGTTTATTTCATGGTATAACAATTAGTAAAGAGGAAGAGATGATCAGTTCATGTGCCACTTGAACCGAGGCGCTCCAGCAACCTGGCACAACACATTAAAGGGCCACAAAACAGTATTTATTGGTATATATTGTTGGAATTTCTTTTTAAAAAAGACAAAATTTGAAAGCTGAGACTTTATTACCAAAAGTAACCGGCTAGGTCTTGTCTGTCAGCATGTTGTCAGTTTCCTCTTTGCTCCACAATGTATTTTTCACTGTGTGAGAACATGATGTGTGGCATGGCTTGTCAGACGTAGCAACAGTAACTAAGGTCTTTGCGAAGGGTCAGTTAACATTGGGATGTAGATGTGCTGCTCCTCCTCTTGTAAATTAGATTTCACAAAATGTATGACTAATAATTCCCTTCTGGCACACTAACCGTTTAATACTTTACAACTGTTATTTGAAGAAATAAACATACTGGCAAATTCATTGCCTTTCATAAAAATGTGCCATTCTCACACTGAAACAAACAAGCCATCCATCCATATGATTCATACAAATCCGAGGACTGTGGAAATTTATATGAATGTATCTCTGTTAAATCTCTATTCAAGTATAAATGGCACCTGTTAGATTAGGATAATGAGGTCTAAGGTGCACTAAGCAAATGAGGTGGGGATGCCATAGTAATGACAGAAATGTATTTTGGGGACCGCACCTCATTTCAGCACAGCCGCAACCGACAACAGAAGCAGCATTTCTGACAGTTACATGGCTCAGCCTGCCAGACACTGTCAATCACGGAAGCTGTCGCTACTAAAATCTGAAGCACATCCTGATTACAAGCCTGCTCCAGCGGTGGCCCGGGAAACCATTTCAAAAGACGACTTTGAGATGAGGATCGGCAACAAAAGTGCAGAGGAATGTCCTCTTACAGCAGAGGGTGAACTTATGGCACAGCCACATGCATTCTTTAGGTGTGAACCCGGCACTTCCAACAGCTCCTCTGTCCCAGCAGTCTCATTACTTTCCACTTTGCCTTGCTAAAACCCCCACGTCTGTCCTCCTCTTTAGCTTTAAAATATAGTCCCCACCCCTGCGCCTCAATTTGTGGTGGCAGCGGAGACACATTTATGATCAGACAGGCTCCTATTACATCGAATGCTCACCAAACTGAGGCAAAGAAACAAAAAGGCAACTGTAAACATCCCATTTACAAGCAAGCCTTGAAAAGGTCAGCAAATGTTTCATAAAAAAAAGATAAATATGCTCATAAAAACAATGGCTGGATTTTAAAGTTTATGTTCAAAAAGTTCACACTTAATTTCCCAACATTTTTCTCCCTACCCTGAATTCCATTATTTGGTTAAACAGGAATATCTGCCTTAAAACCTACAAATGGCTTACTAATATCTATCTGATTCTGGACATTCAACTACAATAGGAGAAAGAATATTATCATCCAAAAAACAAGTACACACCTCAGCTTTAGGTACTTTAAAGGAATAGTTCACCTTCACTGCTAGTCCCTACTGACTTCCATAGCATGAAAAAAACACTATGCAAGTCAAAGGGGACCAGCCAATGAGGGTGAACTATCCCTTTAATGGTAGAGTTAATGGCTTGGTCACAGAATAAATGAATCCATCAGAGTTTCTGATAACGGCTTTGCACAGGATGAGCTGGACAAACCCTGATGACAGCACCCTTGATCAGACGCACTTCAGACTGGGCCGTTCTGGCGTCTGACATCAGGATGACCGGGGCTGTAGAGCTATGCACATCACAGCAATCGAGCCTTTGATGTGCAAACCACACATCTGGAGCTGGAACCGATCCAGATAAAATGGAGCTTATCAAACCACAGCAGCATTCCAGTTTTCTCTAACTAATGAAGAAAGCACTGACAGCTTAATCAAATAACTCCGCAGGAACTGATAAAATACTGGACGACTGTATGCTGGGTTCAATTTAGAAGTTGTTCATAAAGATCTTGCTAGTTTTTTCATCCAACAGTATCTGGCTATTGATTCAGCACAAGTTTACGCATGACCCATAGGAAAAGAGTCTGGAATCACTGCATTTCCTTGCACGAAATGAAATTTAAGACAGAAGTGCAGTTTGAGAGACATAAGCAGGCTGACATGGAATCAACACGCATACAAATCAGCATATTTTCACAGAACTGGAAAGACCTTAATTTCACAATGCAGTACACATCCCCCACCGATTCTATGAATGTTAATTACAACAGTTTTTAAATTGTGGTTACTGCAAAGTGCAAGAATAGCTCATGTCAAATTAACAAGTTTGTTGGTGGGCATAACTTGTGTTTCCTGTATCGTTTTTCTTCACAGGCTGCATGTAAAAACATTTTCAGTGGATCTTGAGAATGATCATAGCTCTCTAGCTGGGTCCTAACATAAAAAGCTTTGGGATCCCCTGGTTTATTAAATATTTTGGCTAATTTGATTATTCTTTAGCATAACTGCACCATGTTTAAATCCATTCCGCAGAATTCTTCACAAAACAAGCTAGCGTGACACCAAGTCGTTTAGCTTTCCTCATTAAAAAATAATGAAGAAATGCCTGAACAGAACTTATAAGTCTCTCAAAGAGAACTCTTAATGACAGAAGAGAGAAATTCGCCAACACTAAACTAATACTATATTCCCAAATGTTATTCAGAGACATCCAAAAAAAAAAAATGGAGTCAGACTGGGTAAACCAAACTTTGATCTCTCATCACACCCCCTTCAACACCCAATCAGAGGAAATGCTTTCAAAGCCAAACCTCTCATTACTCAACCTCAGAACAGCTCCTTTATTTACACCGACCAGTCCCTGTCCTCTCTCCATCATGAGTCTTCTTGTCTGATGGACGAGGCATTAGTGGCAGGTTGTCAGATCAGGCCGTCCGCAGCTAGCGCCCCCCACCCCCGAGTGAGTCAAGCCTGCAGAATGAGCATCTCTCAGCTGGGCTGTGCCTGACACTACCAGCCTCCCAAAGCTCAAAGACCTGTACTGTGCATCACAATCACCATAATATCACTGATCCAGCCTGTATCTCAGCTTCCATCACAGAAAAAAAAGCAAGCATGACTGTGAAAGAATGTTGGACGTATTCCATGATACTTGGCCTGTCTGACCTGTCCAGTCCAGGAGGACTAGATAATAACAGCTCACCAAAGGAGTCTCCGACATTTTATTCTGATAGTATCCTCCTAAACATTCCTTCTACCCACTACAGACTCAAACATTCAGGCCTGGACAGTGTCGAGTATAATTATAACAATTTAGAAAAGTTTATTTTCAAAGTACCAAGTTTTAGAGGACTAGCACAACATGTAATGAGTCACATTGTGTACAAACGCAGATGACTCAAGTCTTCAACACAACAGAGCCATACATCCAGAGTAATTAATCAGAATCCGTGAACCATAAACTAGGACATTCACTCACTGCATTGTATCATTGATCTAAATAAAAATGACCAAATCTTTCCCAACATTTTATGAAGGATGTAAAGAGTTTAATATTATAACGCTTAAGAAGTTGGTGTTAATGTAAAATGCCAGTGGTTCTCACAAAAGTTTGGACACACACTATTATACAGACATATAAGTACAAATTGCACCTATATATGAATTTCTTTTAAAACTTGTTAAGCATTATGGCTGTAGCTCTCAAAGCCAATTGAGAGAATCACTGTAATCTACACAAACAGTGGCTACTTACAACATTGTTATACAAATAAATACATCATTTCTTAAATCTTAATTTAAGAATCTTAATTAACTTTGTTTAATCTTAATTTGTCAACTTAATTCCCATTCTTTTATTTTCATTATTTTTTTAATGTTTAATTTATTATTATGTTTAATTTATTATTTGAATGGGTAAGAAACAACTGAGAAGGTGCGTACAAACTTAGGTGTAGATATACCTCTGTTCAAGTGTTTGGGGTCATTAAGGTTTTTTAATGTTTTTGAATGAAGTCTCTTTTGCTCAGCAAGGCTGCATTTATTTGATCAAAAACACAGTAAAAACAGTGACATTGTAAAATATAGCATTACAATTGTATTGTAATAGCATTACAATTTAAAACAACTTTTCTATTTCAATCAATTTTAAAATGCAATTTATTCAGCATCATTACTCCAGTCTTCAGTGTCAGTTGATCCTTCAGAAATCATTCTAATATGCTGAACTGATGCTCAAATAACATTTCCTATTATTAGTTAAAAACAGTAGTGCTGCTTCTTATTTTTGTGGAAACTGTGATGCGTTTTTTAAGATTCTTTGCTGAATAGAGAAGTCTGCACAGCAATTATTTGAAATCAACAATTTTTTTTTTACCAATGTAAAATTATTTACTGTGACTTTTACGGACCCCAAACATTTGAACAGTAGTGTATATTAACAAAACAATTCCACTACATTATTCGTTTCATTTGAGTAAAGCACTCACAAAAGGATACATTTTGATGGCCCCTGATTTAGTTCCAATGGCCATAAGCTGCAGTTTGGGATCATAGGCCAAAGCACTTGGCTGGTTTGGAAATCCATGTTCAACTGTCTGAGTAAAAAGAAGAGAAGAGGAAATCACACATTCAGAACTTAAACTCACATGTAATGTACATCATATAGACATTTGAAATCCCTCTTTTTCTGCTGAGCTCAAAAAAAAGAAACCAATTCATACTTCATTGACCTCTAATGAGCCCTGATGCTACAATTAACAATGCAGTAGATCTATTCAGTGCAGTCTTGTCAGGAAGGGGATTTCCTTGTTTTTACAAAACAAAATGCAGAACCAGAAATAGCAAGGAAGGAAATCTAGTAGATTTGACAGACAATGTCAAATTCATCTTCAAAGCTATCAAAAGTGCTTTGCAGAAACATGTTTTTGGGCAATTTTAAAAATGTCACCTTAAATCAACACACAAATCTAAGCAGGCTTGAAGTTGGCCGAATGATGCAGATCTCTTTTCACAGGTTGACAAAGTGTGACATGATAAATAACAGGACCTTCCTGTAACATTACACAGTGTCATGATGCTTCATCAGCATGACACACACACACACACACACTCTCTGTTTTCCTAAACCATCAGTGGATAAATCAGCAGCATTTGAGGAATGAACAAAAGTGAGGACTTTAATGCTGTAAAACATGCATAATACGGTATCTCTCATTTCCTCCGGTTTTGCTTTACACTGAAGAGGAGGGGTAGAAATGTTTGATTGTGCTGTAATAGTGCCAGAGTTTGGTCATCAGTAAAAAGCCTACAATCAAACTCTTTCTATGTTTTTGGCAAGAGAGCAGTAACATGTTCATTATGATTTAAGAGCAGCCTCATTACAGAGAGCTCTACAAATCATCACCCTACAACTGCAGGACACATTCAAGGCTCAATAACAAACAAACAAACAAACATACATACAGATTATTAGTCAGTCGTTCGTAACGGTTAAAGTTACAAACACAAGAAAACTTTGAGGTCACTCACAATAGACAACACGCCCGATCTGATTTAATGAGCTCCATTGACGAAGATAAACATATTACACGCAAAAGCAACACATTTCTCAGTCATTCTCTTGAAGCTATAAAAGTGTAACTGTGCACTAACCAAAAGAAAAGCTTGCTATATATAAAGCAATAACTGTTTCAAACAACTTTCATGCGCTTATATTGTCATATCTGGCCATGATGGTTGTAAAACATTGCCATATTAGCAACTGCATGTCAATAAAGAGGAAATGACTGAAATAGAACACGTTCACAATAAGTCATTTGTGAATACATTTGCTTGAATTATATGTTCTTTTAATCGATTTCAATGCAACCCGAAACCGCATGCATGCTCGAGAGGAGACCCAACGCTACAGTATATATCCCACATACCTTACTGAATGCAAACAGATCCTGCTTGATTTTCTCACGATGAGGGTCGTTCCCCTGCCGTCTGAACCTGAACTTCATCATCCTGAAGCCGAATCAGAGAAATAACACAGCCCGCGCCGTCTCAGATTGATATCAATTCCGTTAGGCGTGAATCGGTGCAGAGAAACAATGTGATCCTTCATGCAAGCTCCAGTTTCTTTTGTATCCACTCCTCAAGCCGTGCAAGTTTTCAGCTGTGTGTTTATGCAGTTTGACCACAGGGCAAGTTCACAGGAACCACGTCTTAGGAGAGCCAATCAGAAGCCAAGAATCTGTGACCAATTCACCAAACCACGCCCACGACCAGCGTGCGTGTGGAAAACACGGATCAGGAGTCGGCTCGATTAGTTTTACTTACACGTTTGAATTGCCTGGCAGCAATTCAGTTTCATTGCGTGGAGAAACCAGCCAATCAAATCATGCTATTTTAGTACTATTTATATACTATTCAAGTTTTTATTAATATTTTTAATTAACTTTTATTTTTACGTTTCCTTTTAATTTTAGTTTCATTTTTAATTATATATATATTTTTTGTAATTTTTATTATTATTATTGTTATTTTTAAACATTACTGTTTAGGTTTAAATTATTTTTATAAGTTTTAGTTTTATTTCACTTTTTAATGTTATTTATTTATTCCCAGTTAGCAATTTTAGTGCTTTAGCATAAACTTATTTCTGTTAGCTGCCCAGGCGACATTTAAAATGTTTGTTTAGATTTTCATGTAATATTTATATTTATATATTTATTGAATTTTATTGTTTTGTATTGAATTTTAATTTATTTCAATTAACAAAAATGTGGTTAATAGTTTTAGTTTTATTTAAAAATAATAATGCTGATCATAACTTTTGGTCACATGAATGAATTTACATAGTTTGCTTTTTTTTTTTTTTTACAAACATTTCACAGTATTATGTTAATATTATTCAATGTATTAACAATGTTTCATGATTCCTCAAACTGTGCATCTAATGTAAATAAATAATACACATTTGTGGAAAACGCAGGTCAGTTGTGATTTTATTATTATTATTATTATTTAGAATAAAGACTTCATATTAAACCTGCATTCGTTGTGCATATATTTTGTTTCCCATTCACATCCACATGACACAAACAATATATAAATATTTAAAACATGTAATAGTCTTAAGTAGTGCAAATCAGTATTTAAGAGAAGAACTTCACATGTCCAGAACTAGAGGTAGTGCTATACTGTTTTGAATTATGGGCCCATATGTTCAATCAAATGGAATGCATGCAAAATTATTGTGAATAACAAGCCAATCCTGGAACTTGGTTTTGAAATTTTAAACAGACATACTGCACTATCAACAATGACAGGTAGCTTTCGACGTGTAGAAGTTTAATAGTGTCTGATTGCAATTATTGCCATAAAAGTAATTAATAGAAAGGGTGCTAGAGCAGAGTGATTTCACTGGGCGGCAGAGTAAGTCTCTTCTCTCGTACTGACAGCAGGTTCTCCATATGCATGGCGATAACACGGCACAGCTCAAGACTCTGTAAAGTCAAACGCACAGGAATAAGCTCCGCCCACACAGGCCCAGTGAAAATTACCAACTCAGATTAACAACACACTTTAAAAGGGCATTAAAATGACCAGACATTACACAATTAGATTATGTGATGATTTGCAATCATATATTCCTTCATTTAGTCCAAAGTCCATACCTGGTCCAGCTGTAACTGTGTAATGCGTTGAGACATTAGGTCACCCAGCATTATCTCCACATACGGGTAACTGGAGCCAGCTGTGGGCCTCTGTGTACGGGTGGACTGGACCTCCTTCAGCGGAAACTTCACCATCGGCTCCTGAAGAACATTGAAAACAGCTGTAAAGTCTATACAGTATGTGACCATGTTGTATAATATCATAGAAGGAAATGCAGATCAATTTGCAAATCTTTTCAAATATACAGTATAATGGACACGTTAGCAGTGTCAAAGCAGACTGCATATCTAATCACTGAATAATTGCATACTTTTATTTGTATAAATTAAACAACAAAAAACTTCGTCATTTAAGTCTGTATCTAGCACAAACATATAATAATAATAATAATAATAATAATGTAGATAATAATAAATGTTTCTAAAGCAACAAATCAGCATATTAAAATGATTTGTGAAGGATCATGTGACGTTTAAGATCGGAGTAATGATGCTGAAAATTCAGCTTTGACATTATAGGAATAAATTACTTTTATTACCGGTATTTAAATAATATCTCACAATATTACTGTTTTACTGTATTTTTTATCAAATAAATGCAGCCTTGATGAGCCTTACTCACCCTCATGGCATTTCAAACATATGACTTTCTAAATTGTGACAGAATTGTAATTTTTTGGTCAGCTATTATTTAAAAATATGCTGCAGTTTTAGAAATACAGTCTAAAAAGACTAGCAAAAAAAGTCCTGAGTTTATTTTTACACAGGCTTTTAGTAAGCATTGGAAATAAAAGGATTACGCTTACATGAGTATCTTTTCTTAGAAAGTTCAGACCATTTTGATTGACAGCCAGTATGCATGGGGTGTCGATAGCACTATTACTGCTGCTCTGTATGTAGAAGAATGACGAGCCAAACATGGGATAAGCACTCACAAGCCCTGAAACAGAAACACAAGCACAGCAATCCGTGTTTTAAGTAGAAGGCTATGCACCTTCACATTGACTGTTCTCCTAAGTCAACACCTCACCTAGAAATTGTGCTTTGGCCTGATGAGGAGTGAGGGCCTGCACCTGCTGCATGTGCTGGGTCACCATGTTTAACCATTGCTGGTGCCGCTGGAGACTGAAGAGCTGGGTGGGAATATACTCCTGAACCTCATGGCTGATGGCAGAGAACAAGAGAATGTTAGTCTATGGTAGAGGTAACTAATATTACCTCAGGGACACAAGCCAGGTGCTGTTCTCCATCAGGGGCCAACTGAACAGTTACAACAAACACAACACAGTGTTTTTACAACTGGGAATTTTACCTATATACAATTATTGGCACAGTAATTAATATGAGGACAGATCTCATTTCTCCCTCATTCCTAGTAATGATCCCTGGGATTATATTTCCCTGCAAGTTTCTACTTGTAGAAAATAGCAAATAGCAGTCTCATTAGGACAGTGTTTCCCAACCGGGATGCCGTCTGTCGAGAGCAGGGGTGCCATGTAAAAAATCCTTTTTTAATATTTTTAAATCGCTAAAATGTTCAAAAAAGCATCTATTATATAATATCCATTTCTGATGTCGCCAATAATTAGAGATGCACCGAAATTTCGG